AGGCCATCTTTGTGAAAAGAAATCGTCCATCGTTAAACAGGGGTGGATTAAATTAAATTCAGTTCCACAAATACTTTCTTAATCCCAAAGGGAAATTAAATGTTGTAATTCATTATCCTGGTTGAGCTTGTTCAACGTGCAGCCATCTTGAGTGGTGCAATAGCACATTGGTTAAAAAATAAATTTAACAACTAAAATGAAAAAAAAAAAACATTCGCATACTGAAACATAATTTACTATTTTATTGTAATAAAATAAAACAAGCTTTACCACAAGCTAGGTTTTGTAAATACTTCATAAACATTTTGTTGTTTAATTTCTGTAATCAGTCTTGTGCATTTCAACATAATTCAGTGTTTGTATGGTCACTCATTAAAAAAACAAACAAACAAACAAACATAAACTGCTGTAGTGGTCCAGCCTCTAAAATCATCCACCAGAATATTCATCAACAGAAAAAAAACCTGACATTTTTGTGTTAGACTTGATCTAGTGCAGGACTGTACAAGTACCATTCAAAGTGCTTTTGGTTTTCAAACAAACAAACAAAAGATGAGAATACATCGTGGTTTTAAGACAATACCTGCTGCAGTTATTTAAACAAGAGTTAGAAAAAACAGAACGGCACACAGGATGCTACAATCCTCCATCTGCATCAGCTGCTGATGGAAAGTAGCCAGCGGCAAAATGGAAATTACAGTCATGGTTATGTCACGTTTGCTTGGCACTTATTTTGTAATTGACTATGTCCCCACGAAGGGCAAAATATTGATCCATGAGAGAAATAAATAATTCCAGTACAGGCAGCTGTCACTTGGTGACCTGTTTTTTTTTTCATTACAGTTTTTACTAGCGTTATTTAGTGTAATCATTCATGTAACGTTCAAAGACACAAATGGTTTCAGTGCTGCGCGGCAACAAAAATGGATTTGAACGTGATAAATGCAGTTGACGCTGATCTCTCATTTGTTTTGTTGCAGCGAACAGTTTTACTCAACAGCCGTCAACGTTTTGGCTTTAAGTCCTTAAAATAACTGGGGACAAACCTGAGAAGAGCTTAATTAACTAGGATGTCTAACTGGTGACCCAAACAAACAAATTAAAAATTATAGGTACTCAAACAATCAAAAGATAGAAAACATTTAACACGAGAGGGAAAACAAACGACGCTTTCTGACTGGTGCAAACTTTGACCGTCCTCGGCCTCAGTCTCAGAACAGTTCTTTTGTTTTCTAGGCGGCTCCACGTGTTCAGCCTGAGCTGCTGTGTCTGGCCTGCACTGATTCAGGTTCTGCCTTGTAAATGACAATATCACATTTTAGGATTATAAACTCTGAAAATGAATATATCGAAACAGCTGATGACAATATTTAATACCAGCTCTGTAATGGTATTTATGCGGAAAAACAACTGCCACAGTTAAAGTTGTTGAGTTGTTGTCGTGTCTTTACAATAGTGATCAAGTGACTCAAAATATGTACTACATTTAGACTGTTGGTTGTCTTACATAAAATAACATTTTCTTTTTTCTCTTTACTCCAACAGCTTTCAAATCCCCTCTGTTAAATGGATCTTCATTTAGTGTAGATTAATTCTAATAAAACGAACAAAACAAACACAACAACATTATCCTTGTATTATCAGGCAGCATTATCTGCCTGACGAGGTGTAGACAAAAAGCTCAGTTTACTGTTTTTAAACAAAGATTCGTCACTTCATCACCAGTTTAAGGAGAACACACTTCTGTCTTCAGGTAAATCTTTTAGCTGACAGGTTAAAAAAATAAAACAAAATAAACATTATTTTTCGTTTTACCCAAAGTTAGAGTGAATGAAAACACAGAACATGGTGGTGACTCTGCCCGCTTGGCTCCACTGCTGGTTAATGTGTAAAACTAGAGACCCTGTTAAAGCCACCCACACCTGTAGGCGCTCGGGTTCACCTCTGCCTTGACTCATGTTGGCACCTCTATTCTGCTGTTGGTGTCTGGTCTAGTGGACCAAGGGTAGTGACAGAAATCAAGGCACCAAAACCAATATGGATAGGAAGGTCCAAAGTATAAACATTATGTGCCAAGCCTGAAAATTGGTACCGCAGTAAGGCCTTCTTGGTCTGTTCTTCTGTCTTCTGCCACATCCTTCTCAGGGTCTAAAGAAAACGTCCTGCCAGGGTCAGCGGTGCGGGCTTTGTTGAGCAGAGTCATTACAGACGCTGAGTCACATCCACTTCTGTGGAGCTTCTGTTCTTCTGGCAAGTCCCTGGTGTCAGTTTCACTTTCTTCATCTAGAGCCATCACAAACTGGATCTTTCTAGCTGTAGCAGAGCCCGTAACCCCACCAGGTGCTGAAGCATTTTCCAGGAGGATTTCTTTCTCCTGGTCCTCTGGACTAGGTGAAGGGCTGTGAGGAATCGTGCTCTGGTACCACTCTCTGTTGTCCTCTAAAGTGTCCAAGATCTCCTGAGCATCAGGATGTACGAGGTCAGCCCATGTCTCCCATAAAGGATGAACAATGTAGTCAATAAAACCCACCTGAGGAGACGAGACAAATGTTTTAGACTGTGGACATTTACTTCATATTTCTTTATGATATTGTTCCATACCTGATTCTTCTCTATGGACGCATTCTGTTTGTCACACATGGGACTGATCTCCATTCCTTTGTCTCTCTCCCTGTCCCCCTGAGTAAAAAACTCCACCATGATGCATTCTGTCCACTTACGGTACAATTCAAGGGGTTTGGTGGGATTACTCAGGTCTGCACAGTGAACCATGTTCTGAAGAACCTTTAGGAAATGCCAAAAACATAAATACGCATCAGATTTACTCGTTTATTTTAAAGTGGTATGTTCCCTTTAGCAAACAGGTAAGTACTGTACTTGGTAAATATGAGGCAAATACCCAATAAGTACTCGGTACTGTAATGTACCAAGTAAGTACCTGACAATTAAATTCCCAGTATGCACCACCTACACAAAAGGTGTTATGTACGTTATGTACCAGTTTGGTACCAAATACAGAGTCAGTATGTAACAGGTAAAATCCCAGTAATGGATAAAATCCCAGTATGTCCCTGGTAAGCATGTACCCAGTAGATACCAGGTACTCATCACGTACATCCCTACCTTACCTTTGAAAAAGGTAATCAAATAAATCAAAAAAATTAATTATATCTGCATATTTGGACATTTGACAAATACAAATACTTTTGGGAAATAACAAAGTCCATGCTCAATAATTCAGGTACACAATCCAACAATTTTCAGTCAGGTCATCTGGACAGTTTCTTTTTTTTTTTTTTTTGTGCTGAAACGTTTCACCTTCGATCCGGAAGGTTCATCAGTCAAGGAACAATGGAGGAGGGGGCGTGCCAAAGACACCATCTTAGCACCAACATAACTGGTTTGTTCCACTTTGGAGTAAGCTGTTGGGGGAAGAATCAGTTTTGTGTTGTGTGTTTCCTTGACTGATGAAGCCTTCTGGATCGAAGGTGAAACGTTTCAGCACAAAAAAAAAAAAGAAACTGTCCAGATGACCTGACTGAAAAATGTTGGACTTTTAGGAAATATTTAGTCTCATTTAATGTAATATTGTAATGGAAAAAATGGTTATGTTTTTATACAGTATGTATCCGGTACTTATTGGGCACATACCAGGTATATAGGCTACTCAATAAGTACCATATATGTCACCACTAAATTCTTAGTCTGCCCATCCTTAGTAGGTACTGTATGTGCCCGGAAAGTAACTAGCAAGTACTGAGCACGTGCCAGATAAATGGTAAATGGACTGTACTTATATAGCTCCTTTCTATCTGATCAAGATACTCAAAGCTCTTTAAAACACAATATGTACCCTCATTTACCCATTCATACAGCACTCCACTAGATCAATACAAAGAATACTCAGTGATTTATCACATTTATACACCGATGGGACACACATCGGAGGCAATGAGGGGTTCAGTGTCTTGCCCAGGGGCACTTCAACATGTGAATGTCGGTGGAATCAAACCCCCAGCTCTCCCATTGGAGGACGACTGCTCTAACCACTCAGTCCTGATGCCCCTATATAGAAAAATAAATACTTATAGATATGTAAAGGGTAAGTAACATGTACATACCCAGTAAGTACTGGGGTGATAGCTGGTACATACATCTAAATACCCAGTAAATATCTAGTAAAACAGTAATACATAATACAGTAAACTGCATTATGTAGTTTTACAAAAAGTTATATTTTGTGCGACATACAGTATGTCTCACCTGTATGCGATCAGAGTAGTTGTCCAGAAGCAAAACACCAAGGCTGGTGACTTTCTTTGTCTCCACCATGGTTTTTAGGTCTGCTAATAGGTTCATATGTTTAGACATATCAGTGGCCAGCACCTGCAAGAACAACAACCATACTCCATCAGATTTGGCTGACGAAACTCACAGATACACCATTGATGATTAAACAGGGACGCAAAGAGATTTTACCATGTCAATGACTATTTTACGTAGTGACTGTCTCTGTTTTTTACTCAGGTTCTGAAAAATGTCACAGTTATCTTCCTGCAGAAGTTTAAAGCCCACAGCCAGGTGATGATTCTCCAGCACAGACAAGTCATTGTACATTAGGGCGAGCTCTGAGTCTAAAGGAGCAGAGTGAAAACACAGCACTGTAAACTACTTGAACATGACACGTGCAGTATGCCTTTCTAAACAGGTACCTTTGCATAGCCCATGTGAAACAATGCAAACTCACTGGTGTTGATGAGAAACTGGTTGGAAACTCCAGGGTGGTCAACATCATGGATGGCAGCAGCAAACAGTGCAGCAATAATCTCCAGATCAGTAAAGACAGCCTTAGAAACACATAAGAAGACGTTCTTGAGTGTGCATTGGTACTCAGTCTGACTTGGAGAGACTGTGCCGCTTAAACTCAATACGTTGGTCAGTGGCAATTTTAGCCTTTTTTGGGGAGTGCTCATGCACAAATAAATTTAAACTCAGCGCCCCTTAAAAAATAAGAAACCATCATTACGATTTTGTAAGAAAACTCATTCTCAAACCTTAGATTTGGCAAAATATTGGTTAAATTTGGAATAAATATGGAATAAATGATGACACTTAAATGGGCCAGTAAAATCATTTTATATACTGTATATATATTTTTTCGCACGAGTCGGACCCTCAACATCACCAGTCAATCAATCCAATAGGCTTGTCAGCAACTGACCAATCTGCGATCTCAATTTGTCCCCAAGTGAAACGCCCCTTACTTGCAGGAGCTGGGCTGTTGAGTGTGTGGGGGGTGGAGGTGTGTGTGTGTGTTAGGATGCGTGAGAGAAGCAGAGCACTACGCCTGTAGCATCTTAGCTAGTGCGTCTGTATTGCACATACAGTTGTCGACTGGGGGTGGAGGGGGGTTAGGATGCGTGAAAGAAGAGGAGTCTGCTCTATTCACACAAGGAGAGCTGTTGGTCAGGCTACTTCTTGTTGCTCTCAAATAGTTATTGAATCAAGTGTTTCCATATGTAGGTAACACAGATGTTTAACAACCCATTAAAATGCATTAGAATGCAGGAAATGGCATCTACTTTATTCAAAAAATTCTGGGGGAGGACTCCCAGACCCCCCCACCAGTGTGTCCACCCCAACATTACAAATGCTTCTGATGCTAATGGCCAACGCGTTGTTCAAGCCAAGAGCCACTGTCAGCACTGGGGGCTAAGCACCCCTAAAGGTCAGATTCTAGAATTGCTCCTGAAATTAATGTAGATACTTGGACATCCAGGACATGACAAACTGAAGTAATTGAATTAAAGACAACTGGACTTTCTTTTTTGCCACCTGTCATCTGATGAGAAGTAAAACATCTCCAGAAAACAAACAAAAAAATGTTTTTTTCTTCAAGCCATTTGAACCTAAAGAGTGTTGACATCTGGTTACCTCCAGTGCTGGTGTGGACAGCAGCACATGTGTGGACTGGACTACATCTGCAGCATGAATGTTGTTGTGATAAGCCACATCAGCACGGTAATGATCCTCCAGTGTCATCATAAAGTTGATGAAAATGTCCACAGGAATCTTGAAAGACTTCAGCAAGTCACGTTCCTGTAACAGCAAAACAAACAGCACACCTTTAGACTATTTCAGACAAGATAAACACGAGGATGAAAGGATGTTAGTCATTCCTTTAATGTCTTGCGCAGTTTCACAACATTTATTAGAACCATAACTTCTGCAGTGTTGTGTTACCTGAAAGATTGTATACATTGTGACTGTTAGCGGATGATTCCCTGAATACTCTGAAATCTTAAAGATGTCAATACCCCATCGGTCAATGTCTTCAAGTTCCTGCCGGGGAGCAAACAGCAATAGATTAAACCTTTTGTGTAAAACAGTTAAATAAAACATCAAGGTACAGTATGTGTTGCTTTTAGTTTTCTTAGGGCAGTGGCACTGAACCTGGAAAGTCCTCATTTCATATCTCTCCAAACAGCTGCTAAAGATGAGGGTTGTCCAAAGAACAAATGCTTAAATTTTCTCAAAGTAGAAGGAGAGGCAGAGGTTTCAGATCTCAGGCTCGTCTCTTGTAGAATCAACTTCCACTTTCTGCCGTGAAGCTGACACTGTCTACTTTTAAGACCAGGCTTACTGTACGACTTTCCTTTGTGATACATTCAGTAGTTAGGGTTGGCTTGGGTTTCTTGTTCCTTAGTTATGCTGCTATGGGCTTAGTCTGCTGGAGGATAAACTGCCCACATTGCCTCACTTTGCTGATGTCTTTACACTGCTACCACTCTCCATGCTTGTGTTTGTATTTAGTTTATCAATGCATGTGTTTCCCATTGAAACAAGACCTGGACCAATCCTTCTGTATTTGCTTGAGTCCTTTCATGGCCTCTCAACCTCCAGCTAGTCGAGCCAGTTGACCAGTCTGAGACTATTTCTACTGTAGTTCTGCTAATCTGTTGACAAAAACAAGTTTTTGAAGTTTTTCTAGAGAAACAACTTTCTATTGTTAATGAGCACTTTGTGACATGGATCTATTTTAAACTTAACTGGGTTATACACAATTTGGTAGGATTTTAGACTTGATGCTTTATTGTATAGTACCCTGAGATAACTTTTGTTGTGAACTAGTTTTGTATAAATGAACTGAAAAGAACTGAATTAAACCATCACACACTTCTGTGTGAACTCTAACATTAGAGATAAATCCTTTTCATCACACTGTTAATAGTAAACTGACAATGACTCGTTTCCATACCTCAGCAAGGAGTTCTTCCTGGCTGGCGTTGACCCCAAAGCGAGGGATGGAGGAGAGGGCAAGGCTGTGAGTAGCCTTCTTTACACCGCTGATCTGATACATCGGATGTTTCTTTTTGTCTTTCTCCTTAGTGGAGGGAGACATGATGTCCATGTCATGGGGCTTCTCTGTTACACAAGTTCAAATAAACAGTTAACAGCGTCTTCTCTTAGAGATCATTTTAGAAAAACAGTGCTTTAAAACTTTACAAATGTTTTCCAAATGATTGAATGCTGAGTCAGCATTTACACTATTTTTTTAACTAATACAATCTAACTATTTTTTAAAGTACTGCATACTTTGCAGTACTTTAGTCATTTGTATGTCAAATTGTTTAGTTTATTCAGGAGATGGGTGTTATGTTTTTTTGTTTGTTTGTTTGTTTTAGTTTTGGGGGTTTAAACTTTATTTACAAGTATTTTGCCCAAAATAATATTTAGTTCTTTTTGATATCAGCTGCTTTTAACTAGCATTTTGCTACTTTAGCTTCTGGTTCTTAGCTAGTTCTTTGCTAATTTTGCTTTTAGTTAGTATTTTGCTCTTTCAGCAGTCAGTAATACATTTGCTACTTTTACCTTTGAGGTAACTTTTTACTATATTTACCTTTTAGCTAGTGTTTTGCTACATTTAGTTTTTAGTTGGTATTGTGCTAGGCTACTTTTATGTAGCATTTTGCTGCTATAACATTAGGCCTGCATTTTGGCATATTTTGCTAGTGTTTTGCTTTTTTTATTTTTAGCTTGTATTAAACAACTTTTAACTAGTCTTGCTGCTTTTAGCTTTTAATTGTTGTTTTGCTGCTTTTCACTAACGTTTATCTTCTTTTAACTTTTAGAAAGAGATTTGATCTTTTGAGCTAGCCTTTTGCTATTTTAGCATTAGGCTGGCATTTTGCGACTTTTAGCTGGTATTGTTTTTACAACATTTAGCTAGTGTTTTGCCCCCTTTAGCTTTTAGTTAGTGTTCTGCTATATTTAACTTTTATGTTCTATGTTTATATAATTAACAAACCAATTTTAGCTTTTTAAGCAAGTTTAATTAAAGTCATTTATGGCTCTCAGCATTCACACGTTTACAAAAATATTTCTGTTTGTCTAGTTCTACAGTTTGATATAGATTTGTTGACAGCGGTATATGGTGAGCAGTTGCTTTTTATGTATTTATGTATTTATGTATTTATTTCGAACAGACAATAAAAAGTAAAAACAAACTAAGAAAAAATAATACATGTAATAAAACAAATAGTCATGCCAAATGACATGCAATTTTACACAATTTGTTCAAAAAGAAGCAGGCAGAAGGTAAACAGCAACACTTTTGACTAGTTTAGATTTTACTTTGCAGATCTTAGATTCCTTAGAGAACTTTACTGATTGGCTTTTTTATGTATGTGAATGCTCCTGTAAAGTGCCCTGAGACAACTTTGTTTTGATTTGTGTTCTATTCTGAATCAAATATTAGATGTTGGCACCTCCACATCATTGCATTCAGTTTTTATTCACAATTTGTTTAGTGTCCCAACTTTTTTGGAATCCGGTTTGTATGTGAATGCTCCTGTAAAGTGCCCTGAGACAACTTTGTTGTGATTTGGGGCTATATAAATAAACTGAATTGAATAGATCTGAGGTTTCCAGCAAAATTTATCATCCAGTATGACACCCAGAAATTTGATTTCATGAACTCGTTCTAAATCAACACTGTTGATAGTTATTTTGATTGCATTGTTTTCCTGTTTATTGCAGTTTCCAAAAATCATGAATTTTGTTTTATCTAAATTTAGTGATTATTTATTATTTTTGAACCAATGTTTTAGTTTTTTCATCTCTGTTGTGACCACCTCAGAGAGTTGTTGGCTGTTTTCTCCAGTGCAGAAAATGCTAGTGTCATCTGCAAATATAATGTAGTTTAGCCGTTTGATACTTTGAATATGTCATTTATATACAAATTAAATATTTTGGGCCCAACACTGACCCTTGTGGAACCCACAAGTTATATTTAATAATTCTGATTTGTGATTACCTATTTGTACAAACGGTTTTCTTTTTCAAGTGTAGCTTCTAAGCTAATTTAATGCGACCCGGTCCCCTAATTCCATACCATTCCAGCTTTTGTAGTAAGATATCATGATTATTACCTAGGAAGGTGCTGGAAATGAACTCTGACACCTGATTCCCAGAGCGGCTGGTTTCTGACAACTGACTGAGCTCTCGGTTCAGCATCCTCTTGAACTGAGGAGGAATAAAAATGAACATTTACATGCCTGATCAAACACACGAGTATAAACTACACAACAGATCAGATCAGAGAACACAAAGTAAACACATGTAAGGATTTTGGTCTTTACAATGGGAACCAGATGTTTGCATACACTGTATAAAAAGACAACAATTTTCTCACATTGTGATATTAAATCAGACTTAACGTTTCCTGCTTTACGTCAGGTACGATTTCCATAATTATTTCATTTAATCAAATGCCCATATAACCAGATATGTTTTTATTAGTAGATGTTTATTATTATTATTATTATTATTTCTTTTTTTATATATATATTTTTTCAAACCAGGACTATGAGACCTAGGCCTTCAGGCCTGCATTTAAACATGCAGCAGTAAATCCGTTAATTAAAAATCCTGGACTTGACCCTTCAGCTTGTTCAAATTTCAGATAAATCTCACAGCTTCCCTTTCTTTCTAAAATCTTGGAGAAATTGTTTTTTATTTGATTAAATGTCTTTTTGAGTGAGAATTGATTCTTTTTAGATCTTTCAGTTTGGTTTTAAACACTTACACAGCACCAAAACAGCTTCAGTAAGGATTTGTAATGATATTCTTTTAGCTAACGGCTCTGGTCAGTTTGTGATCCTTGTACGTCTGGACCTTACTGCAGCTTTTGACACTGTGTTGACCACAGTATCCTTATGTCCCAGTTAGAACACTGGGTTGGGATTACAGGCGCAGCCTCAGAGTGGTTCCTTTCTTACCTGAATCACAGAAGCTTTGTGTTAATCTTGGTAATTTATTATCTGCTTCAGTGCCTTTTTCCTGTGGGGTTCTGCAGGGCTCGATTCTTGGACACCTTCGGTTTTAATCTGCTCCCTTTGGGGTCTATTCTGAAGACACATGGTCTTTTTTTTCAATGTTATTCTGATGATTGCCAGATTTATCTGCCCTTAAAACCCAATACTGTAGTTCTTCTTGCTCCATTCACCCTCTGTTAAAATGTCTCGATTACATTAAGGCTTGAATGGCTTCAAATGTTTTAAGTTTTAATGATCAGAAAACTGATGTTATTGTGTTCAGCCCTAGTTCTACTGCAGTCTCTCATCCTGTAAACCTTGACTACCTTGAGCCATATCTTAAGCAGTCTATTGTGGGCTAGTGGGTGGCTGTGGCTGAGTGGTTAGAGCAGTCGTCCTCCAATGCGAGAGTTGGGGGTTCGAATCCAACAGCAGTCACATGTCGAAGTGTCCCTGGGCAAGACACTGAACCCCTCGTTGCCTCTGATGTGTGTTCCATCGGTGTATGAATATGATAAAGCTCTGATTAGTCTCTTTAGAATGATTTGTTCAATTAGCTTTGTAGAGATCTAGTAGAGTGCTGTATGAATGGGTAAATGAGGCACAGATTGTAGTGTAAAGCGCTTTGAGTATCTCGCTAAGATAGAAAGGCGCTATATAAGTACAGTCCATTGACCATATTACAAATCTGGGGATGATTTTAGACTCTGATTTTAAGTTTAATAGGTAGATTAACTCTGTTTTGCAGAAAAGCTTCTTCCAGTTAAGGCAGATAGCTATCTTAAGTCAGTGTTGACCAGACCTGACCTTGAGAACATATTCTATGCCTTCATTACAGTGAGAAGGTCACTGGATCAAATCCCTGCCCGGGACCTTTCTGGGTGGAGTTAGCATGTTCTCTTCATGCATGCGTGGGTTTTCTCCCACAGACCAAAAACATGCATGTTAGGCTGATTGGTAACTCTAAAATTGTCTCTAGGTGTGAGTGAGAGAGTGAATGGTTGTTTGTCTCGTTTGTCTCTATGTGTCCCTATGATGGAATGGAGACCTGTCCAGGGTGTCCTCCACCTCTTGCACAGTGATGGCTGGACATGGGCACCAGCGACCCCCACGACCCAAAAAGGAATAAGCGGGTAAAGATAATGGCTGGATGGAAGTACTGGAGTCTTCAGCAACCAAGAAAATTTCCCAGCATGTACAAATATGCCTGGCAAGACATGCTTTTCTGAGTCTGACTCATCTCAGGAAAACAGAACCTGGAACCTATTCTGAGCGGTACGATGGCAGGACTCGCCCACAGTGTCAGTGCATGTTGGTCTGCCTTCAGGTCCAGGCCTCCCTTGCAAAAAAGATCTGTGATCTCAGTGGGATTTCCCTGGTTAAATAAAGATTAATAAATAAATAAAAATAAATTATACTTGTATATAATTATTTGAACAAATAAAGATGGAACCTTCAGCATCTGGAAATTGTACCTAAGGATGAGCCAGACTTGCAGAGGTCAACACTTCTCTTCCTGCTGTCTTGGCTGATGCGTTTGGATTTTCTCATGATGTCACTCAGATACAGAGCGTTGACGTGTGCCCTGAAATGCTTCCACAGGTGTGTCTCCAGTTAATTCAGAAAAGTTATCAGCTAGCCTATCAAAAGCTTCCAAAGCTATCCCATCATCTGGTACTGACCTAACTATTTAAAGGTGTAGTATTATTAGTCTAAGTCAACATCACTGAACACTGAAACGTTGTAAAAACCTGACCGGTTTAGTTGTCGGGAGAAATGTGATGATTCAGCAAACTCTTGTTAGAAGCTTGTAAGTTAAAAACTTTGACCCAAGTTATCCAGTTTAAAGATGATGCTACTAAGTGCATGAAGAAATTTATTTATCCTTATATTCAGGCGTTCAAAAAATATAACACTTTGGAAATCTTCCCTGACCTAAAACAGAAAGATTTAGTCTGGTTTAATAACAGATAGTAAAAATGTCCATCTGTCTTATTACACTAACTGTGTAAACATCTGGTTTTAACTGTAAATAAATTGTGATACTGAAATCAATTTTTTGACTTCACTGGTTTGAGGTTGATCTCGTGAACAGAGCCCCTCCTGACCCTGATGTCAGTAAGCATCTGAATAAAATACCTGCACCACGTCAGCTGGCTCCTTCTGAGGAGGAGCGGCAGCGTCTTAAGAGCTCCTCACCTCCTCTCTGAGGCTGAGCCCAGTCGACTGGTTACAGATGTGAGCGAGTGCATGGGATTACAATCTTTATTTGTATGCATCTGTTTTTCAGCTCTTGACGGGGGCACATTTAGTTTGCTACTCGTTGGCCTACTGTCCAGCTCACCTGTTTGCTAGTACAGTTACTGTACCTTGTTGGAGGCCATCTCACTGACAGATTGTTGAGTCTTCAGTGTCTCTAGTTGTTCCAGACACCAGTCCAGCTCATCCAGTGTCTCTATGGCCAGCTGCTGGTGTGGTTCTTCTGTCCCAGATAAACATAAGAAGGCACTACGGTATTCAGTAATCTTTAAAAGAAAATTACGTATTGTCACAACTCCCAAAGATCCTTAAAGTGGAATGCAAAAAGGTACTAAACCTGCCGATGATATATGGATTACATCTATTACAAATGTTGAGTTTCATCTCAAACACTCAAATGCTGAACATTTTGCAAGTGTAGAAATATTTAAAGCGTTTTAAAGCATACGATAAACGTTACTGTTAGACTGAAACAATTCAATACGTTGGGTTTTCAGTTTTAAATACAACCTCATGCATACGTGAGATTAAGGTCCATACAAATAAATGCACAAACAACAATGTGAAAGCTGATATCTTGTTTTTAGTTTCACCTGTATGTTTTGTTGCAAACTAACAGTTCTGTACAGTTTTAACCTCTCGTATATCAAAACATCTGGCTCACTCAGGAATATGACTTTTAGTTTTTGTAACTTTTATATTTTGCAAATTGTTTAATTTTAAATGTTTCCCCACAGAAGTGCATAGATATATCTCTGCAATTTCTTCAAAAAACATTGTTCTAATTAAAATCCACTTCAAGTACTTGCTTTTACTAATAGTACTTGCTACTAATTGGTTATAGCTTTTAACTGCTATCATGCTGGTTGAAGTTATTAGCTTCTGTTTTGCAACTTTTAGCTTAGTGTTTTAAACATCTAAGCTTTTAGCTGCTGTTCTGCTCATTTTAGCTCGTGATCTGATTGTTTCAGCTTTCCTTTTGTTTAACTTTACCTAAGTTTTAGCTACTTAACACTTTTTAACCAAGCCATGCAGTACCTAAATTGTTTTTCATTTTTAAATACATGCACTTTACATACATGTATAATACATGCACTTTACATACATGTATAATACATGCACTTTACATACATGTATAATACATGCACTTTACATGTATAATACATGCACGGGGGCAGCTGTGGCTGAGTGGTTAGAGCAGTTGTCCTCCTGTTGGAGAGTTGGGGGTTCGATTCCACCAGCAGTCACATGCTGAAGTGTCTCTGGACAAGACACTGAACCCCTGATGTGTGGCCCATCGGTGTATGAATGTGATAAAACACTGATTATTCTTTGTAAAGATCTAGTAAAGTGCTGTGTGATGTGTGTGTGGAGGTTAATGAGGCACAGATTGTAAAGAGCTTTGAGCGTCTTGATTAGATAGAAAGGTGACATACAAGTACAGTCCATTTACAATTTACTTTCATATTCAAGGTAAATTCTACTCATGGTCACATGCTTTTACTTTGACATGTTCTATGCAAGACTTTTAGATGTTACCAGAGCTTTGTTCTGTTTTAATACTGATAATTCTAGTTAAAAATAATTACCAAGGTGCTTCCACACCTCTTGGTTTTTGAATGTTTGACATTCTTCTATTTATTGAACACATGCTCCCAGAAACCCAAATGTCACAGTTCACAGATGTAATCACTTTACTGCAGTGATTTGTTATTCTGCCAGGAGTCGTATTATTGATTGTTACAGTTACAGGAAACAGTTGTTCTTCTCACAGTACAGACCTGCGAGGCTGCTTTTGCACATTGATGGTGGGTTGCTGCCTGACACTCTTGTCCTGTCAAGGGAAATGTCAATGAGTTGATGATTTACAGTCAGTTCAGTCTGATTTTATTCTGTTAGCTCAGACAGGCAGTCACTTCAACAACTTTAACACCTACTTGCTGGCTGTTCGGTCTTGTTGACCAGTTATGATGGCAAAGTTACTCCGGACTGTCCTCAAGCTGGCAAGAATCTGAAAATGAAAATACAGTAAAAGAACAAATTTAAAAGTATTAAATGTTTAATGGGTCAAACTTCAAGTGAAACCAAAGCCCATGTGGCTCATTAGCTGTTCACCAAATGATTTAAGGGTGCCAACACAAAAGCACTGAGGCGCCCTGGTTCTATGACTGCTGAGTCAGCATTCACATTATGGTTTTATTTTATTTTATACACTTTTCCATGCACTCGAGCTACTTCTGCATATTTTGTGCATTTTTAACCAGGCCTATCAAAACGTTCAGCTTGATATAAGAATAGTGTGCTATGACTGTATTTATAACTTTTAAACATTTTGATTTACTTACCTTTATTTTCAAATAGTTTTAAGATCTCATGTTGAAATCTCTTCAGTTCAAATACATTTGTTTTCTGAAATCTATTTCAGCATATTGACTTTATTTATGTGCACACTTGAGCTTTTAAAAACCGTTAGCTAATTTTAGCTTTTAGCTATGATTTCTTCATTTTAGCTTGAAGGTACTGTTTAGCTTATTTTAAATGCTAAATGAACTGTACTTATACAGAACCTTTCCATCTTATCAAGATACTCAAAGCTCTTTATACTACAATCTGTGCCTCATTTACCCATTCACACAGCACTCTACTAGATCTGTACAAAGACTAGTCAGAGCTTTATCACATTCATACACCGATGGGACACACATCAGAGACAATGAGGGTTCAGTGTCTTGGCCAGGGACACTTCAACATGTGACTGCTGGTGGAATCAAACCCCCAACTCTCCTATTGGAGGACGACTGCTCTAACCACTCAGACACAGTCGCCCCAAATAAAATAGGCCACTGGCAGCAGCTTCAACATTTCTTTCGATCTTGGCTATCATAACACTTCTACAGTTCCAAAAACAAAATGTCACCATTTTTCGGGGCTAAAGTTAGATTTGAGCAGCTCTGTAGCATTTTAACTGAAAATTTCCAATTAAAATACAACCTTTGCCTTTGTGTTGACAAAATAACTGTGTCAATCAGGACAAACTTAAAGTATTATTTGTTGACCCACCTGTGCAAAAGGTGTGACTATCATGTCTTCTGAATGTCTGCAGTGAGAACAAAGAAACACAAAAGAACGTTTGTAAAACAAGAATATTAGAAAACGTGACTAATCCTGTTCAGTAATATAACATGCAAAAGTTATGGTTAGTGTGGGAATAACTCAGGTTGGTGAAAGATGAATGAAAGTTCACAAGTGCTGTTTTTTTTGTGTTAATGCTGAGTCAGCGTTCACACCATTTATTCATTGTTTCTTCTATATGTTTTTGCAAAGTACTTACACGTTGTTTTATATATTTAATTATCATATATCCAAACATTCAGCTAAATTCAGAGGTGTGCTACCACTGTAGTTTTATTGAACTCTTATATCACCCAAAACTTTATTTAAAATAAAAATTCTCATACATATACATAAAAATCTGTAATTCCATCAACAACTTTGTTTTCTTTAAAATCTGCTTCAGCATACATGCTCTGTTTTCTATGTTACTTTTAGCTACTACATTTTAGCTTTTGTCTTGCTAATTTTACCTTTAGACTTTGTTTTGTTAACTTTAGCTTTAACTTCTTTTTCTGCCTAATTTAATGAGCGTTTTGGTCATTTTAGCTTTTGTACAGCTACTTTTAACTTTGGTATTTACTTTGCTACTTTTAACTAATGTTTAGCTAATTTTGACATCTGATCAGTTTAGCTTTAGCGTATGCTTTGGTACTTTTGGCTACAGTTTGTAATTGCAGCCATACTCTAGTTCTTTTAAAGCAGGGGTGCCCAGTACATTGATCACAATCTACTGGTCGATCGCAAAGGTATTATGGGTAGATCATCCATCCTCACTAATCCTAATCCTCACTCAGCACATATGACAGTTTAGGTCTTAAACATATGTGCAGAGTAAAGATATTCTAAGATGAGGTGTGTGTTGCATTTGTTGAACATGTGCACAGAAAAGGAAGAGGTAAATAAGACATTTTAAATTTATCTGGCAACCCTGATGCAGGGCTCAGCTGCATTCATCATACATGCAGCATCTGCATGGTCACAGTCCAAACTGGTGAACACACCAACATCTCTTTGGAGCCTGGATTTTATTAGTTTTGCTCCTACATGCTGAAAAAGGGTGAGCAGCACAAAAACACTCTGCTCGCTGACATTTATTATAACAGTTGTTATTTATTATAACTGTTATTATTTATTATAACTGTTGTTAGTGCAGAAAAACTTTGGACTGCAGCCACCTGTAGTGCATGTGAGACTTCACACTTGCAGAGCATTTCACACCTCCGGGGGGATTCCCCTGAAAATCTCCCTCGGAGACCTGGATTCAGAAACTTTCGGTTTCAGAGAGAATGAGGTTGTTGTCTGTAAATGAACAACCGAACATTTCACGTTGTGTAAACGGGGCCTCAGACTGGCTGCCCTGTCTGTCAGTCAAGTGACAAATTTCATTGATGGGTGATCGGCTGACGTCTTTTTTTTTTTTAATGTCATGCCATCTACCCATAATACCTTTGAGATCGACCGGTAGATCATAACTGATGTATTGGACACCACTGGTTTAGGTCAAAATACTATTACTTTAAAGCAACAGTACTATAGTTCATAATTTCTTATCTGGCAACCCAACTGAAATGGAAACTACAGTGTTTTTGTGCAAACCAATTCATTTTTTGTTTATTATCCCCAATAAACATTGAAAAAAACACTAAAGTTTCCAGAGGCTGTTGTCATGGAAACAGGGTTTTATAGCACGTAGATCACTTTGACCTGGTCATTTTAAAAGGAGCTCCATGATGGAAAAGCGTGGGCACCTCTGGTTTAAAGCTACCATTTAGCATTTTTTTCCTTTAGCATCTTTTTACTTGTTTTTAATTGTTTTGCTAATTTTGACATCTGTTTTGCTAGTTTTAGCTCCCATTTTCGTTTCTTATTTAGTTTTAGAGTCTGTTTTCTCTTTTTAGCAGAACATCTCTTTTGCCGCCTTTAACTAACGTTTTCCTGATTTCCCTTTAAAATTTGTTTTGCTCATTTTATAGCTTTTGTTTTTTTGTTCTTAACTTTTACAACTCAGCTTTAGCTTTAGCAAAATTCAGCAAAGTCCTCTAGCACTCAGCACTGTTCATGGAAAGTACCGTTACTTTAGCTGTTATTTGTATCACATGCAAATAGAAACGAAACCATAAAGGCCGAGGAAATGTCACAGGTGAGTTGTTGGTCAAGACAGAATGAAGAAATGTGAGTTCCATAAAAGCTGTTCAGAGGGAAAGCAGACGAGGTCTTTCAGGGAGCGTCAGGGAGTTTTATTTAAAAATTTTAGCTTGATCAAGTTTTTCTCACCGAGACGACAACCAGTTGACCTCCCAATGCTTCAAGCTTTCTTCCCTTTGAAAAAAGACATGCCAGAGTCCATGAGGAAACCTAGAGCAGCTTACACACCTGAAGCTGTTTACATAGCATAAAGTGTCTTGAGGCTTGAAAAAAAAAAAGGCTAAGAATTAAATGTTTTAAGCCCACCTGCTTCAACCATTTGTCTGTTGTATTGTGCTTTTGAATTATGATTCAAAGTGAAAGATTGTTTGAACACTTTCTTTATTTCCAGCTGTTACAATATTTGTATGACCTGATGCTGAAAGTGAAGAGGTGATGCTTTTGCTCATGTCCCTGTGTGTCTGTAGGATTATCAAAATACATAATAAAAAGCCAGTGAATAGATTACTATTATGGACGGATGGATGGCTGATGGATGGTTGATGATTGATGATGAATGGATGGATGGATGGATGGTTGATGGATGAATAAATGGATGGATGATGGATGGATGATGGTGGATGGATGGACAGCTAATAGATGGATGGATGGATGATGCATGGACAGATGGATGAGGGCTGATGGATGGATGGATGGATGGATGGATGGATGGATGGATGGATGGATGGATGGATGGATGGATGATGCATGGACAGATGGATG